GGATATCATAGCTACATATATGGATATCCTAGCTACACACATGGATATCCTAGCTACACATATGGATATCCTAGCAACACACATGAATATCCTAGGTACACATATGGATATCCTAGCTATAAACATGGATATCCTAGCTACACATATGAATATCCTAGCTACACATATGGATATCCTAGCTACACATATGGATATCCGAGCTACACATGAATATCTTAGCTACACATGAATATCTTAGCTACACATTTGGATATCCTAGCAACACATATGGATATCCTGGCTACACATATGGATATCCTAGCTACATATATAGATATCCTAGCTACACATATGGTATTCTAGCTGCACATATTGATATCCTAGCAACACACATGAATATCCTAGCTACACATATGGATATCCTAGCTGCACATATGGATATCCTAGCAACACACATGAATATCCTAGCTACACATATGGATATCCTAGCAACACATATGGATATCCTAGCTACACATATGGATATCCTAGCTACATATATAGATATCCTAGCTACACATATGTATATCCTAGCTGCACATATGGATATCCTAGCTACACATATGGGTATCCTAGCTTCACGTATGAATATCCTAGCTACACATATAAATATCCTAGCTACACATATGTATATCCTAGCTACATATATAGATATCCTAGCTACACATATGGATATCCTAGCTGCACATATGGATATCCTAGCTACACATATAGGTATCCTAGCTTCACATATGGATATCCTAGCTACACATATAAATATCCTAGCTACACATATGGATAACCTAGCTACACATATAGATATCTTATCTACACATATGGATATCCTAGCTACACATGTGGACATAATATCAACACATATGGATATCTTAGCTACACATATGGATATCTTAGCTACATATATATATATATATATCTTATCTACACATATGGATATCCTAGCTACACATGTGGACATAATATCAACACATATGGATATCCCAGCCACACATGTGGACATAATATCTACACATATGGATATCTTAGCTACACATATAGATATCCTAGCTGCACATATGAATATCCTAGCTACACATATGGTTATCATAGCTGCATATCTGGATATACTCTAAATAGTCACACATTACGTGTGATGAATAAATATTCAATCTGAAAGAAACTCGTTCTTAAGTTACTGTTTCCAGAATCCACAGCGATGAGATGAGAAGAGTGAGTTATTTTCTTTGTTGGGGTTTATTGTGAATGAAGATACCGAAACGCATACACTGCTTATTTTCCTTCTTACTCGTATTTTAATGAATATATATCATTATGCACTAAACATTCAATTTGCTCCCCAAGTGATGGATCACTTAGCAATTTTACTGTCAGAAATTCATCTATCTACGACACGAGTATATGGGTATTTATATTTGACATACCGGTGCAATTGTGTCCATCCTCACTAAGAATGTATCCATCATAGCACATACATGTGTACGAGCCGTACGTATCTCTGCACAACTGTTCACATCCTCCATTATCGGTTTCGCATTCGTTTTCGTCCGCTTGAAATGTATATAACAGTTAGTGGATATGAACATGTCATACGCAGTAAATAAAACAGGAACAATTATGATAAATGGCAGCCTGTCATTTCCTCTAATGGTTAAAAGTGTGATATTTCTACCAACCTGAATAGTCAATGCATCCTTCACAATCACAATGTGCCGCATCGCCACCACAGTGACCATTGATACCACAACAGGGATGGTCACTATTCGGGTCGCACTGTCCTGGATCGCCATTGTCGAGTGGATATAGAGGTCCACAGTGACCATGAATGTCCCATAAAGCTTAAAAAACAATTTAAAATGGCGACAGAATGTAGGGTATAACAGCAATGATGTAATCAATGTGTTTAACATTTTTTGGAAAACGTAATATTGCAAGAGAAATGTTTCAATACACACGACATTAAACTCGAAACTTGAAAATATAAGCAATTACTTAATTCCTCGTTTATTTTAAGGATTAAAAATAAGTGTGTGTCACAAATGGGAGGAACCGTCGGTGACTGTATTTCAAAACCTTCGGTCTTTGCACTTTATATATTCGTACATGTTTTACTAGCCACGTTGAATTTATATATTGCTGCCGGTCCGTTGGTTTTTTCTACCCAGAAAACAATAAGAAGGTAATCGGGCAATCACCTAACTAGGCACTAACATTTGAAGCAGCTGTTTTATCTCAAACTTTATTAAAACATTATTTATTATTAAAATAAATTTATAAATGTCTGAAGACTGCAGAAACGGAAATAAAAATTACTATATATGTTATGAATTAAGTTGTGTAGAATAAGGTCACTTTAGTGCAGTTGTGCACGTGACACATTGCAACTTGGAAAGCTAACTTTATGATAAATGACTCCAATGGATTCGATTTTCACGTCCCACTCTCATTATATGAATTCTTACTCGCACTTTCGCGGTTAAGCAAGATTTGTTACGAATAATAGTGTGATTTGTGAACGTACACTGAGACTAGTGGCAAAAACAGAACCGAGTCGGTGGTTTTACGTTCCCTTCAAAGTCCGTGTAAAAACACTAGTGTAAAACGGCGGCGGAGGAATATTTTAACTAAAATCTGCTAGTAGTGCGTCACAATATACAACGCATTTGTTAGACAGCGCGTTGAGGACAATGTGTTCTGTGACAACACAACCAACATAGCACTATAACTGACCACATTTATGGCCCGCTTGCTATGCACCGTATTTGTCATGAAAACTCTGGACTTTTAGATTTACCAAACACTACTGACAAATTATGTGTGTACTTTACTGAGCTATAGTGGTAATGACCTCAGTAATGTGTGTGACACGTTATGGTGATAGTCTTGCTTGACTGAAAAAGTCAGTAGCTAGGTTTCATATCTCACACTTAATATATGTTGAAAGGCATGTACTTTTTATGTATATGCATGAATTAAATCAAAAGATATTTCACATATAATAATGTCCTGTTTCTTTTTCAAGCCACGATACCGTCGCAACTATTAAAATATGCATTATTATTATCATTTTAATTGTAAATCATTTTAATTAAATTATTATTGACAAGTTATGAAGAGAACATTCTTTACCTTCACATGTATGACCATCTGCTTGTAAGACATAATCAATATAACAGTAACATTCATAAGATCCGTCGGTGTTTATACATATTTGATCGCATCCTCCGTTATCAGTGTCACACTCGTTGGTATCTACAACATACAATTATAGACGAGTGTACTGAATAATTCATTAATTTAATATTAATAAATATACATATATTGACATACTACATTAGTTGAATCTTTGTGATATTTGAATGTTATAACCGGAATATTCGTTTACTTTTGTAAAAATGAAATATATAGATAATGAAATAAACCTACCTGAGCAGGTTCTACCATCTTCGTTTAATTCATATCCACTAAGACAACTACAGGAGTGCGAACCAAGCTCGTTATGGCAAAGATGCTCACATCCACCATTTCGATGTAGACATTCGTTGACGTCTTTATTAGAGCAGAAGAAACCGTTGTTAGAAAAGGATCTATTTTTAACGTGTTTAAATCGCACATT